CTGGAGAACTGGCCATTTCAGTGGACCCAAAACCGCCAGTTCGTGGGATCCCAATTAAAGGATTCATAGGAATGTATGGAAGCAATAATAACTGGGCAATAGAGTCACCGGCCATTAATGATGCAGGAGTATCAGTGTACAATTGTACCTTAATAACCCCTTTATAATCTTGATCAATAACCCCTGGAATAACAAAGAACCCTTTTTCTGATGCAGAAGACCTGGGAAGTACCAATCCCACTGTTTTTTCTGGCAGTGGCCCATGCAAATGAGTGTCCTCAATGTACACTTGATTAGGAAAAGTCACATCAATCGAGTGCAACATTTTTAAACACAAACCTGCACTCCCGGTAGTTGCAGGCGATGCCTTTGTGACAGCCTTAGGAGCGGGGCTAGCTGCACGCCCCAAATTTAGTTTCCCGAATTTTGATTTTGATCAGAGCGACATTGATTTGCCCAATGAAACCCTTTTTTGCATTTCGGACAGACCGACTTCGGGCGGACGTCCTTAATTTTGTTTTTGGTAAACGCCATTCCGCCCATAGGGGCTCGGCACTGGGCGTTAAAATGGCCAGGCTTCCTACAATTAAAACAGTTCCCCGTAGGTTTCATCCCTTTTTGTAATGCCATAGCCAAAGTCTCCATGTTGTAAGCCTGAGAACCCACCACTGCACATGCCTTTAACAGATCAGCCAGAGTAACCTCACCTCTAGCCACCAAAGGCTGTAAGATACGCTTGCAGTCAGCGTTTGCATTTTCGACTGCCAATTTCAGCAAAAGTTCCTTTGCCGCTTCCTCATTAGAAATTTGCCTGGTAATAGCCAATTGTAGCCTTTCCACAAAATCGTTGTAAGACTCAGATGCTGTTTGCTTAATTTGAGAAAAAGACCGTGCCGGGGTTCCCACATCCTGGATGTGGGACAACGCCCCAAGGACAGCTGCCATAACCACGGGAAATACGTGATCAGGCAAACTTAGTAGCTTGATCAGCAGTGGGTTCAAACAAGCCTGCCCCATAGATTTGGTCTGGCGTATACAGCCCCCCCGAATTCCGTCCCCTAGTGATAGCTTCCCTTTGATATTCTGAATCAAAGACCACATACTGAGTAGAACTCAATATCATTCTCATTAAATCTTTCCAGTCATTAGGAATCATGCGTGAGGTAGCCAAACTTGTCAGAAGACCCTTTGTAAAAGGACTTTGAATACCATAATCTTTAACGGCTTTCTTGATTTCCCTAAGTATTGCCAACGGAATCGGAACCCATTCCGCCTGCAGGTTGCCTTGAGCATCCACTTGCCTATTAACTGGAAACAAATTAATCTGGGGAATCTCATCAGGCTCTAATTTCCCCTCATTGAAAGCCTGATGCATCATTGCTTGAACTTTTCCCATTTGTGGCTGGGGTTTCTCCTCCACAGGCGTAGGCGCTGTTGGGGATGAGAAAACATACTCCAGTTTTGGAGTCGGAGGGTGCAACACAACTCCTTTATAAGGAGGAGGTTCTATTAAAGGTTTTAAAAGAGGTTGTTGCTGGGTCTCTAAAGCAGTCATAATAACCTTCCAATATGTCAAAATTTCAGCTGTTGCCCGTGGTTCCTCATGAAGGATAGTTCCAATTTTCCTCCACGTGTCTAATTTTAAAGAGCCCTTCTCTGAGTACCAGGGGCATTGCCGCCAGATCTCTTGCAGCAGATTTTTCACATTACCTTTTGAAAGAACTATATGCTCCCCTCCAGAGGGTTTAAAGATAAAGAAATTTGTCCTGACTAACTTCAGCAGCTCATTAACATGCCTTTCCTGTGGCTGAGAAAGTTTTCCCCCCATGTTCCCTGAAAAATCCTATTGTCCAGCAATAGTTAAGTACGTACTTTACCTATTCCAGGCGAGGAAACATGGAGGTCCGGACACGTACCACCTGCAGTGGATCACGTCGGGGTCACCACTTGTGGTGGTCTCTCATGGAAAAATGAGACACAAGCTAGTGTTCTCGGGATGAGAGCCCAGAGCAAATTCCAGTGCTCCCTTTTATTGAGATTTTAGTACATGGTAAGCATAGCAAGCATAATCACATTGTGGATTACAATAATTAGATATAGTACAGACTTGTTTACAGTTGTCTGAGCTGCTTGATTGTTTCTAGTGTTTGTTTTTAATTTCCTTGCACTATCTCAGTGACTTTTAAACAAGCATGTATGTACAAAGTATTAGATTAATCATTACCCAAACCCAATCCAAAGTTTTTATTCCCACACCTTTCCCTCTTCCCCCTCTTCTTCTCCCTTCCCTTTTTGACCCCTTCTCTCTCTAATTCTGATTCTCTCTTCTGTAATCCTCTCTTCTGTTTCTTCCTAATGTTGTAATTATTTTTCAAACTATTCTTTTTTGGGGTTGTTTTTTCAAATCTTAAATTTTTCACTCTCTTTCCCCCCTTTCCTTTCTTTTCCCCACATAGAAATACTTGGTCATTGAAGATGGCTTCTTCTTTGTCCCGCCCTTCTTGTTCTACAGGCATTTCTTGTTGTTTCTCATAGTTCAGGATCTCCATTTCTAAAAATTGAAATACGAAGCCAAAAGAACCTCTTCCTTCTTGTGCATCTTCTTTCTGTTTTTTAAGTTCCATTCTCAATTCTTCCAAGAGCGATACCATTTTAAAAACTTTTAAACAACCAGCCAATTAATTTTAGTCCTTTAGATCCGATAGCCAAAAATCCAAAAATCACTAAGTAATCCAAATAATCCAAAGCTATTTCTTCTTGCTTCTTTTTTTCCACTTTCTCTTCCTAGGGTTCTCTTATCTTCTTACAAAGTTTCAGTTAAAATCTATATTTTAGGAATCTTGTTAAAGTTTCACTGTTAATTCCTGGTGGTCTCCATTTTTCCAGATCCCACCCTTTTGTTTTTTTCCTTCTTTTAAAGGTTTTTGAGAATCCAGAAATCTTTATTATCCCTTTTACGTTTTATTTTCAGCTTAAATACCTGTTAATGTCAAAGTGGATTTTTGCCGGTTTCTTGCTTAAATCTCTTAGTTGTCAATATAGGAAAGAAAAGAAAAAAAACCCCAAATCCTTTGCCTTCCCTCTCTCATTCGCCGCTTCAAAGTCTTCTTTGGGAACAATGTTGTTCTTTATAATTGAAATTCCAGGGTACCTTATATTGTTGCTTTTTCAGTTCGACCCGGTCAGCCAAAACTTTCTCTTCTTATCCGGTCAAGTTCTTCTTTGAGGTGGCCATTTCTGACCACCGCTGCAACCGCCTTCGGGAAAGGGAGTAATGGCCAGTTGGGGAGGAGAGATGTGGCTTTCCTCGATCCTGCTGGCAGTCTCTCCCCTTTACCATCTCTATGGGGTGGCTTAGCCCCGAAATGAGCCAGCTCGGGGTGCTCCAGCAGCAAGCACAGATCAAAACTGCACAGATTTCGGTCTGTCGCCGAAGAAGCTCAAACCAGAAGCCGCGGGATACCCAGGTTTGATTCCCGGCCAATGCAATGCATGCTTTTTAAAAAATTATTATTATTTTCTTATCCAGCAGATGATCCACAATTGCATAAAAAATTCTTCACCCAAACTCCGGTACTGGTTTCAATTTCCCACGTTGCAGCCGATTCTTGCCCTGCATCCCTGGTGTTTTTTTTTCTTTTTTCTTTTTTGCACAAGGGCAGTTTGAGATGGGAGCAACGTGAGAAAAAAACCCCTGCACACGTTTGCTTCCATGTCGGGGGTGGGGGGTGGGAATTAAAAAACTTTTGCAAAATTTGCAAAACAGCAAAACAGAGACTTGGCTGGAATAGCAATGCAAAAAGGGGATGCGTAAAAGGAAAAACGCGACCGCAGCTCTTTGCATCCGTGGGAAATGGGGGGAAGGGGCGTTCATTGAGAGAATGCTGGGGTGCAGGAGGGAGGGGAGAAAAAAAAAGGCATCGCTGGGATTCGAACCCAGGCTCTTCTGTTTACTAGACTGGCACTTTAACCAACTAAACCACGACGCAACATGGCAACTATTTCCCTTTGGCCTAATCTCAGTATGTAAAGGTAGAATAATCCTAATAGGAACCTTTTTTTGCAAGAGAGATCTCCACTTTTGCAACGTGGCGCCCGCGGCAGCAATTGTACAAAACAAAAACATCCGGCGGGGAAAACGAGGGAAAACCACCCGCCAAACCTTTAAAAAAAGGCTTTTTAGTCCCGCCCTTTGCACATGCTTGCTCATCTTTGCTCCCGGCCCATGCAAGCACTCTGTGCACACTCAGGAACTCTCCAACATCCCTTTGCAATTCAATGTGAAAGCAATGGCACATCAATAGCAAAGCAAGGGGATGTAGCTCAGTGGTAGAGCGCATGCTTCGCATGTATGAGGCCCCGGGTTCAATCCCTGGCATCTGCACATTTGTTTTCTTTTGCCTTTGAAAATTTTCAATTTTTTTTTTACAAAAATATGTAAAAATATTTTTAAAAAATATTTTAAATATTTGTGAAAAAAAATAAAAATATATTAAAAATACATTTAAAAATCTTTAAAAATATTTTTTTAAAAATTAAAAATATATAAAAATATATAAAAAATATTTAAAAATATTTTCCCCCCTTCGGTTCTCTTGAATCTGACATTTTTGCAGGGAGGGGGGGAATACTGTTATTTTTCCCTACATGCAGCGGTTGCAAAGATGGACAGAAGGGAAATGCAGGCTTTTGTTTCTGCCATGACATTTCGCTCTCTTAAACAGCGGCGGATGGGGATTTTAGTAGCCCCCAATATCTGGAGGGCCCCTGCTTGGGGGTGGGGTGGGGAAGGGAAGCCTTGCAAATTCCATCTCCTATTTTAAATCCTTTGCAGAAGAACGACTTGCATTTATTCACGTCTGCAAAATTGGTTCCACTCTTACATATATTTATTTTGCAATTTTGATCTGCAAAGACTTTTGAAAAACTACTGAAGGATCAGATTATGGAATGTATGTACAGAGGAGGCCCTGGGGATCAGATGAAGGGTCATATGTGGAGAAAGGATCCAGGTATGGGTGGAATGGATATGAGAGAGCGGAATATGAATTCTGATACATTTTCTATTGTCTTCATTTCTGTGCCTTAAGCAGCCTTGCTCCTTGCTGTCCCTCTCTACAGAAGGAGGGGGGTCATGGGGGAGTGGGGGTGCTTCCTCAGAAAAAAGATTTAAAACTGCTTTTACTTTTCTCTGTGGAAAGTGGGGGTCACAGGGAGTGGGGGAGCTACCTTGAGCTGCTCTGCAATAGGAAAGGGATTGGAACCGCACATTCTTAGTGAGGCAGAAGTTAGCACCTTAAACCACTAGCCAGGATGTTAGGAACAAGAATAGCTTGCTTGTAAGAAAACCCGCAAAAACCACATAGTTGGCACATGAAACTAGGACACTTTGCAAGATACCCATGACTTGAGGTGAAACACAGGTGATGTGACATTTAGCTATGTAGGGGGCTGAGATCCAAATAATCAATCACTATTATCTGTTATGCATGCATTATTAGGGGAAGGACAACGGGCTGAATGCAACCACCCCTTGACTATAAAAATTACTGTAAGATTGTAATCGGGGCCTTTGGTTACTTTTTGAACCAGGGTCCTTATATCTTGGTACCAAAATAAAAGTGTATTGTATGACACCTTGTGTCCGGTGACTTATCGGCTTCGACACCAAGCAAGAGCCCAGTTTTGGGGACAACAATTTGGTGGAGAATGTGGAAGACACGCTTGGATCCACCACTGCCTGAGGGACAAATCAAAGGGGAGGCCTCCAGGTCATGTAAATTGGCAGTTGAGAGGAAAGTTAATGGTTCTGTAGGAAGTTAGCACCCACCCCTCTCCTAGAAAATTGAAATATTCTAGGAAATATTAAAAAGGCAGAATATTTTCCCCCCCAAAAGAGTAGAAACTCAGAAGCAGAAACTCACCCCCACCTTTGTTAATCTCACCCCCACCTTTGTTAATGGGTGGGCCATTAAGGCCTGGACCAGAATACTTTACATAACAAGGATCTCCGGGTAAAGCTATAGCAATTGCTCAAAAGCCCTTTAAGTGCATCATCCAGCAAGGCTCAACCAAGCCTGGAAATCAGGACAGCCTACAGAGTTGCCCCTGCATGGCCCCATGGGAGTCTGACAACCAATCAGAATACAAGCTACAATTCAAATCCCAACAAAGGTTACAAAACCCAGGCACTCTCAGCATATCAGCCCCCCCCCCTTTTTTTTTTTGTAAATTTTATTTGAGTTTTCACAAAGAGAAAAAAAATACAAATAAAACATCTTTTTTGAAAGCAGCATAATCCTGGGTTGCATTTCTTCGTACAGACACAAATTCAGGTTTATGCTCATTTTTATAATCTATTCCATATCTTATTACTATTTTACATGTTCTGCATAGCTTCTCCCCTCTTTTAATTTTCTCAATTTTATTTTAATTATCTCATCTCAATTCAAATCTTTGTATTTATATTTTTTGTCTGTCCTGTTTCAATTATCTATTATCTTTTCTCATTAAACAAAATTTCGCCTGTAGTTACTGATTGGAGTATGACGCCTTTATATCTTTTCCCTAAAGTTGTAACATTCAATATAATACATAACTTCCATTCGGATTCTGCTTGGTACATTCTTAAAATACACACTGTATTCTTAAAAAAAGAAAAAAATTATAAATGTATATAATTAAAACAACATTCCATTCCAATTCAATTCTATCATTAATATTAATATTCATTAAAGTCTTAACATCTTTAACATTACTTTTCAATTAAATATAATACTTCTATGGGAACAATTATAAGCTTTCCATAGTTAATTCCCCCCCCTTCACTTATATTTTATAAAACATTAACTAATTAAAATGTTCCCGTTCCTTCCTAATACAATTTTCTCATTTATTTTATTTCACTTATTTTATTCACAAACATTTCACTAAATTACACTAACTATTTTATCCCTCATTTTAATCATACGTTGTTTCCAATTTTCTAAAGTTATTTCTATTACTAATATAACAATACAATCTTACGTACCTTTACAGAATCCCTTTTTCAGTTAGATTTTCACCCATTATCTCTAAATAGGTCCTGTTTCTTTATATCTTGCTCCGGTCCTTTGTAACTTCTTTTCCTTTCCTTCTCTTCTTCTCTCTCCCCTTTTTACCCCCTTGTCTCTCTACCTCTATTTCTCTCTTCTGTATTCCCCACTTCTGTTGCTTTCCAGTATTATACTTATTTTTTGAATTATTTTTCTTTTCTTTGGTTGTTTTTTTAAGTCTTAAATTCTCCATTCTCTTTCCCCCCTTTCCTTTTTCTTCCCCACATAGAATTACTTGTTCATTAAAGATGGCTTCTTCTTTGTCCCAGTCTTCTTGTTTTGCAGTCTTTTCTTGTTGTTTCTCATAGTTCCAAATCTCCATTTCTAAGAATTGAAAAACGAAGCCAAAAAAACCCTTCCCTTCTTGTGCGTCTTCTTTGTACTTTTTAAGTTCCATTTTCAATTCATCCAGAAGTGGTGCCATGGTATAAATTTTTAAACAACCACCCGATTGATTTTAGTCATTCAAATATAATAACCAAAAATCCAAAGATCACCAAATAATCCAAATACACGCAAGCTGTTTCTTTTTTGCTCTTTTTTTTTCACTTTCTCTTCCTGGGGTTACTATTTAGTTGCAAAGTTTCAGTTAAAATGTATCTTTTAGAAGTCTTGTTGAAGTTTTACTTTAGATTCTTTTTAATTCCAGGCAGTCTCCTCCCTCTTCCAGATCCTGCCCTTATTCTTTTTCTCTCCCTTCCTGCTTATGAAAAATAAAGTTTTTAATGTCCAGAAATCTTTATTATCCCTTTGGCATTTTGTTTTATTTTCAGCTTAATTGCCTATTGATGTCAAAGCGGATTTTTCTGATTTCTTATTTAAGTCTCTTAGTTGTCAGTATAGGGAAGGAAAGAGAAGGAAAAAAAAGCCAAACCTTTCCCTTTTCACTTTCCTTCGCTGCTTCCGACTCTTCTTTGGGAGCGATGTTATTTTTTGTAAGTTTAAATTCCAGGGTACCTTGGTTGTTGCTTTTACAATTTAACCCAGTCAGCCAAAACTTTCACTTCTTATCTTCCTCCTGCACGTTCTTTTCCGGTCGAGTTCTTCTTTGTGGTGTCCATTTCTGACCACCGCTGCAACCGCCTTCGGGAAAGGGAGTAATGGCCAGCTGAGGAGGAGAGATGCGGCTCTCCTCGACCCTGCTGGTGGTCTCCCCCCTCTTCATCACCTCTATGGGGTGGCTTAGCCCCAAAACCAGCCGGCTCAGGACGCTCCAGCGGCGAGCCCAGACAGAAACCGCGCACGATCGCGGATTTCTGTCTGTCGCCGAAGCCCTTCAAACCGGAAGTCCAGCATATCAGCCCTTTTCTTGATCTCTTCCTTCACCTTGAAGCATGTGATCATCCTTCTTTTTCACTCTGGAGCTCTAGGCCATGTGGTCCTGTCCACCATTAAACCTTCCAAACAGCCTCCATGTTTCCAGTGTCTTTTTTCCCACTTAGAACTGAACCCAGAAGGATATTTCTTCCAACAGTTCCTAAGAATTATATCCGGCCAGGTACCTTGCTTGTGCATTCAGGAAGTGGGTGGGTGGGGAAGGACTGATAAGAAAAGTGGAGAAAAAGGCCTGAGGGAAAAAAAGGGGGGGGGGGCGGAGGCCTGAGAGGAAAAGTGGAGAAAAAGGCCTGAGAGGAAGTGAGGGGGAGGCCTGAGATGAAAACTGGAGAAAAAGGCCTGAGAGAAAGTGTGTGTGTGTAGGGGGGGGGGCAGAGGCCTGAAAAAGGCCTGAGAGAAAGTGGGTGGGAGGCCTTAGAGGAAAAGTGGAGAAAAAGGTCTGAGAGGAAGGGGGTGGGAGGGAGGCCTGAGAGGAAAAGTGGAGAAAAAGGCCTGCAGATGCCTAGCAAAATTTAGTAATACTACAGATTGGCTGGTTACATTGAAATCAGGTGCAAGATAGTGATGGTAGGTAAATTATTGGGCAGTTTAGTTTGGTATTTATTTCAGTAGGCTGATTTTAGAAAGCTAAACAGGATCAGACCTGGTAAGTACTTGGCTGGGAAGCCAACACAAAATGGGGTGTGGGGAGGAATGGGGTTGGGAAGGAAAGAAGGAAGATAGGATAACTTTTATTGTCATTTTTTTACTGTAAGTACACTGGCACACATTAAAAGTGAAATATATATACATATCCATACACATACATAACACACATATACACATGCTACACACACACACACACACACACAAAATCATTGCCCATTTTGAATACATAGCAGAAAGGAAGAAAGTATTGGATACATATACACAAATGTGTGTGAAAAAAACTGCAAAGAAATAGGATTATAAAAATAAAGCTTCCAATCTTAGCAGTTATAGATGAGAGAGAGAAAGAGAAATGAAAAACATAGAGGGAGAAAGAGATAGAGAGAGAGATGAGAAAGACAGGGAGAAAGAAAGAAGGACAGAGACTATTTTCTTTTTAAAAGAAAATAGAAAAATGGCTCTTTGAGTGTTTAAGGTTGCAGACCCCTGGGTTAGGCAAACACCATGATTATTAAGTGAACCTTGTAGTCATTAAGCAAACACTGGTTGTTAAACAAGTCCATTTTCCCCAATGGGCATTTTTGACCAGAAACCAGAAGGAATTGTTGGAAACTGACAAAAAACATAGAAAACCTGTTGAGGTAATTCCCCGTTAGGAGAATGAGCACATACAGGGACACGTAATGAGAGTAGTGAAGAATAACACACACACAGCACACAGATACACTGTACAGTAAATGTAGGTTTTTACTTCCAATAAATGTTTAAGCAAGGTCCAAGATAAGCAATCCAAGTCATTCACAGGTAAAGCAGTCAGTTTTCAGTTCAGGGATAATCCAAATATCAAAGTCCAGTATCAAAAAACAGTTCAGTAACAGACTTACATCAACGATCAGTAACAGTCATTAGGAGGAACGGCAACACTCTCCAACAGAAGGAAACAAAGACTCACTCACACTCTCTTCTGAGACTAAAACAACCCAGGTTTCTGGCTCCATCTTATGTCCGTTTGAGAAACCACACCCAATTACAGTTTTAGCATTCTCTTAAAGATACAGTATTAAA